ATCGGTGTTCTGCTTCCGACTCCATCGGTTTGATTTTCACTAGATCGTATTGCTCCACGCGTCTGATTACGACTCCGACTACGACTCCGTTGCAAGTGAAAACCAGCCTTTAGGGGCAGCCATATAAAAGCGTGGAAAGAGACTTGCATGGTGGAATGTTAAGAAGTTTGCCGTCATAGTACCTAGCCGTTAGAACCTTATCACACACCCAGATTCCGAACGGGAGATTGTGGAGTAATGACAGGGTGTCCAACAGTTATGCCATGAATTGTGATTTTAGCAAGTTGCTGTCTGGTGCCGATCAAAAGAAGTTTAAGTTTCGTTTTGGCATCATTCATGAGCAACCTGTCTTGAGACACCCACTGCTTGATGTCCTGAATACAATGTTCGATAGAGGCAACTGCATCAGCCTGGCCAGAGTGCACCATGGGACTAAACGAGATGTCTAACTGAGAGTCATCGGCATAACAATGGACAGTTGGGAGGTGCTTCTCCACGACATCAAACAGTGCGCATGCATAAACTGTAAAGAGAAGTGGGCCGAGACACGAACCTTCAGGAACACCATACCGCAGGTCCAACTTATCAGATACAGTTCCCCGAACAGACACTCGCTGGGAACGGCCAGACAAATAAGATCGAAACCAGGCAAGGGCAGTGCCATTCAAACCAAGTTTTGACGATAATCTGCCATGGAGAATGCTATGATCAACGGTATCGAAAGCAGCACTTAGATCCAGCAGGACAAGGATAGTCACGTGCTCTTTGTTCATATTTAACAGAATATCGTTCATTACTTTCAAAAGTGCTGTTTTAGGGCTGTGATTTCTTCTATAAGCCGACTACGCAACTGGGTATAAGTTAGTACAAACAAGGTGACCAGGAATCTGATTGAAAACAGCCCTTTCAATGAGCTTAGACACAAAAGACAAATTGCTCACAGGACGGAAGTTCTCAAAGACTACATCAAGACCGGGTTTCTTTGATAATGGAAAAACAAAAGCCTCTTTCCAAATTTCAGGAAAACATCCGGATCACGATTGTAAGGAGTTTTTAACGATTTTTGAGAACTGGGAAGAGATCCTCACATTTGCTAACCAGTGTGGACGACATAGGGTCAAGAGGGCAGGATTTAATCATGGTAATTTAAGCATCGTAAAAGTAAGGAATGGTGGCAAAATTTCATCAGCAAGACGAAATGTCATCTTCTGGATATGAATCAGTCTGCTGATCGGTGTCAAGTTTCGTACGGATAGTATCTATCTTATGAACAGAGAATTTCCCCAAATCATTAGAGAAAGTTCTACTGTCCAGATTAGGTGGGAGACCATCCTCCATTGTGTGATTAAATAAACGCTGACTTGCACGGAATAATCTTTTTTCTATCACCGCTATTTTCATGTCTAAAGTTGCTGTAAAACTCCCTCCAAGCCTTGTTCATAAGACGGGTAGTCAAATTACGTTTTTCTTTAAAAGTAGCAAGATCGTACTCCAATCGAGATTTCCTCCACCTCTTTTCAGCCTCCTTCGCTGACGTTTCGCCTCCCTGATCTCCTGACTGAACCATGGAACACGAGGTCTCTGAAGATCTCTCTTGATTTTACGAATCGTGCAAACCTTTTACAGGAATAACTTTATTGCCCAGTTCCTTGCAAGAACAACCAAGTTACATGTGCACCAATCTTAGGAAAATAATATCAAGCTCTTGGGTAACCGTTTGGCACAAAACCAAGCCTTATTTTTATAATAGAGTATCAGTTATGTCTCTTCCTACTTGTGAGGCTTGTATTTGATTTCAGTTTGGTGACCTAATTATAGAAATCAAGTTATACTTTAGAAATCGAACTTCATCATCAATCACCTTTTTTGACAAAATATAATCAAACCTGCAGGACTCTTTTGTTTTCTGAAGGATTGTAGCGTTAACCGCGATCGTCCTCACCTGATGCATGACTAGTATTCAAGTTCTTCTTTGGAGTCAATCTCGAGGTAGAAATCCTGGGTAACAAGTGCACAGCCTCAAGTACAAAGAGAGTTACGGCGAGCCACGTGGAAAGAAGAGAGTAAAGATGGATATAAGTCCACCAAAGACTGAATAAAAAACTGAAGTGATAAGCTATAATAAGCTTTCCCAAGTCTGTGGATTGCAATGATTAAATCAATAGTAGACGGTCATTTTCTCTGAAACGTTTTCCCAATCAAAAAGGAAAGTTTCGTGAAGTTGATGTCACAACCAAAATTTCTCGGTTTTTTGAGTTACCAACATGAGCCTCGCCTATGCTCGAGTATAAAAATCACTACCCGACTTTTATCTTTTCTAAAATACCAGCTAATATTTACAATACGCTACATATCCTCCCCATCTCTCTAGAAAGAGGGTCTGATACTCCTGGTCCCGATCCAAAAAAACTTATGAACAACATGAATTATATGTTTAGAGATAAAAAAAAATTAAAATGAATATTTCACTTACCAAATACAACCCACATCTTAAAAAAACGAATTCGAACCAATCTGACTAGGATCATACTGATAGATATAAACTTAGAGAAATCTGAAATAAAACCAGAGCGATTTAAAGCAGACCGCAAACACCATTCGGTATTTTCGGCGTTGTTTTTGCCTAAAATAGAATTGAGTCCAATCCAAGGGTCAGTATCTGCTCCTTACGCAGACAAGTCAGTCGATATCAAGTTCTGCACATGCGCAAGATCAAAACCCTTACGTCATCAACAAAGGAATGTTGTTCGAGAATTGTATTTAGGCTAGACTACGTTAACCGTACCTCCCC